AAGTATAACAAATGAAACTTAAGAAAGCCATCTTAAACAGATGACATATCAGTGATAACAGAAAACAGGTTACATTTGTTGTTTACTAACAATAAATTTCAAATGATCATCATCATTGCTACAGTCATTTATTCTAAAAAATGTGGGCACACTTGATTTCTGAAAGGCACATTTAAAATATTTGCCTGGTGCCCTAAGGCACACTTAGAAAAAAAGTATTTCTGTCCCCGACTTAGAAGCATAGTGTTGTAGTTTGTGAGTCCTCGTGGGGGTCTCTCTGTATTCATGCCTGCTTGCACCTTGTGGTCAGTGACAAGAAGTCTCCCATGTGGGAGGTCAGTTTGGTCCCGATAATCACCATATTGTATAGACGTAGGTTATTCTCACCTGATCCGTGGGAGGGGATTTCACTGTGGATGCCTGTCTACCTGTGTCACAGCCAGAAGAAAGAGCCTGCCCGGAGGAATGTCGGACTTAGCAGGGGATGACTTTGCCATGTGTTGTATACAGCACCTCCTTGGAGGAGCTTCCTGACAACAATCATATATAGCTAGTTGTCATATTGTAGCATATTTTTATCATTCATGTTAAGATTTGTATGGAATTAATAAATATCATATTCTCACGTTTCAACAAATGTGATGTTTTTTTGTTAGCCAAAGGGAACAATGCCACTGATGATTTAAAAACCCAATGTTAAATAATTTTGCTGTCAGGGTTCAAATGTTTAGTTGGTAATATTTGGCTATTTTTTGTTTTTGTTTAGTTCAGCTAAAATATGACGATTGAATTTCATATTTTCTGCAAGTCTTTTGATCACTTCAGCTTCAAAAAGTCATGACAATCTTGGTTCTATTTTATTATATTTTTCAGTTAATTTTTTAACATGCATCTGATGTGAATTTCTACTGTTTAAACATTCAAAAAATAAGTGCCTGTGGCAGATTGGGAGAAAATAGTTTGGTTTAAATTTTGGATTGTTTTAAAGTTTGTATTTTCTTAAATTGGGGGTTATTTTAATGTTTCATCTTGAAATTTGTCTATGTGGACAATTTTACTGGAACTGATACTGTTGTGAGAGTCTGGAGTTTTTCACAGGCAGTTTTGTATATGTATAAATGAATGAATATGAAAGAAAAAAGTTACAGTTATGAATGCTTTTTGGAATATGTTTTTTGAATTATTTGGTCAGTCTTCTTGAAAAATAAATATTCCCAAATATTCATGAACAATTTTTTTTGTTCAGTATATTGTATGTAGGACACATAAAACTCCCCCCAAAATATCCATGCTATACAACAATCATAAATATAATGCCCCTAAATAGCATGAATGATATTTTATTGTCATATCAGATCGGACAAATTATCACCATGAGACACTCAAAACGATTGATGTCGATTATTTCAGGGTAAATACAATGACAATATTATGATGTGGGAGGTCAGGGCTGGGTCGGGATGATTTAGCTGATTATCCTCGTGGAGACCCCACATGGAGCTTGTTTACCCCTACAGCATATTAAGACCAGAGGATTCCCCTACCTGTTCTCAAAGGGAGATGCCATAACTTAGTGCTGGAGAAAAGGGTAGTGACAGCGTCACAAAGACTCCCTGTATGTGGGACGACACAGGGGGGCACCTGCTGGCGGAGAATATTGATCCAGATGCCCCCATGTGGACTATAGCATGTATACACGGCCTGGCGGACTGGTCTCGTATACACCAGGCGGGATATATACCGCGTATACCATGGTGGGGGTGCTGGAGATATGGACATGCTTGGCAGATTAAGTGCTGGGGAGGCCAGTGATAATTAGTCGTGTGGTTGTGTTGGTCGAAATGATTTTTTGATATGACAGGTGCTAACTGATTTAGATTCTCAGAAGCACAGTGCTAAGATTAATGTCTTTGCATTTGGGATGGTATGTTGTGGGGTGCAGTTTTTGATGTTTGTAGGAGGAACCTTGGATGGTTGCTATTGGTGCTGAAGTTTTTAGCTCACCTGATTAAATAATGTGATATTTGTTCAAAGAGGCCAAACATAAATTTATTGGCGGATCCAGTGGGGGGATCTGAAAATGACTAAACACCACATTGCAGTTAATGTTTTGCATTGGCGGAGACAAGGGGGAGTTCAGGGGGTTCAACACCCACCTACCCCCCACCCCCAGCTTTGAAAATTCCTTGATCCACCTATGGAATTTATACCATTTGTTGGGTAGTCCACTCATTGATGTGTGCAAATATGAGGTATGACCACTATTTAGGTTTTAGAAAAGTTAAATTTCAATAAAAATAGTAATATTTAAAAGTTATTTTACTTGCTGATGGTATCGATTCCAGACTTCCAAACAATCTTGATGAAGACTTAGATTAGAATGTTAGAATTACTGTCATACTAATCTAGACTTTTAAGAAAACAGATATGTTTATGATTATTATGTTAATCTGATAAAATTAATATGCGTGAAGAAAAATAGAGGTAATTGATCCTAATGGGAGATCATGTGGATAACATATTTGCTGAAAACGTTCCAACTCCAAACATGACCATATATAGCCCGATGCATACTTGTACTGCAGATAGTATATAGAGTTGCATCTCTTAGCTGTATAAAGATTGCTTATTGTAGGGGTGGGGATTGCAGAGAATTTTCATATTGCGATATATTGCGATGCGAAAGCATGTATTGCGATATGTATTGCAATATATTGCATGAAGTACTTTTAAACAAAAACTGCTTATAATCGAGTTACTTCTTGATTTATAGAGCAAAAACACAACAAAATCACTAGGCTTGATTAAGCTTTAATAACAACTTTTAATCATGATAAAATAAAAATGTGAATAATATTTGGCACAAATGAAACAAGGACATATCCAAACATTTCCGAGTGTTATAAAGTTTTCTGAATGCAAGTCAAAATACCAGTTTTCGATCAGCGTATCACAATACGTGTCGTTTTCATGTCTGAACCGGTAAATACCGGTAAACCGGTTATATTGTGCAGCCCTAGCTTTTTAAGGGTTCAATTCCTAGGTTTTTAGCTGGAGTCAATACACAGCAATCAAGATGGTTCATGCATTATTTTTTTGCAGCCTTTTCATGTTTGGGGCAACAGATTACCTTTTTCATATATATCCCCGCCTCAGAACTTTATATATAAAAATATAAGATATTGTATCTTGACTTAGCTTTGGTATAGTTGTTGACATAAAATATAAGTAAAGTAGTGCAGCAGAACACTAATTTCTGTCAATATACACAGTACTTGTTCTATACATCATGTAGTGTTTGTGGGTCTTAGCTTATAAAAAAGGAAGAGATGTATTTTTGTTGGCATTTCTGTTGGATGGTTAAAATTCTTGTGTGGCAACTGATAAGGAGTGAGTGAGTGAGTGAGTTTTAGTTTTACGCCGCTTTTAGCAATATTCCAGCTATATCACGGGGGACACCAGAAATGGGCTTCACATATTGTACCCATGTGGGGAATCGAACCCGGGTCTTCGGCGTGACGAACGAATGAACACTTTAACCACTACGCTACCCCACTGCCCCACTGATAAGGAAGAAAGCATAATGACAGCAACAGTCATGTTATTGAAGATGATATTGAATCACCTAAATGAACTATCAACATTAATTCAGATTGGGTTTTTGATTATATATCATTTGTTATGCATGATAATTATCTATAACATAGGGAGTAAATATGAATTTTATCCCCATGAGAATGTGTGAGAGGTGGAACATTTAGCAGCATGTTAATTTTTAACCTTCTTCTTAGGAGTTCAACAGTAATGTCTAAGAGCCACCAACAGTCATAAAAATGAAAATATATATTTGCCACCTTAATCAGTTTTGGATTGATTATTTAGCTCAGACTACAAAGTGAAACAAATCAAATATCAAATATCAATATGATCAACTGAATTCTTGTAAAATCTGACTGTGAATATGAACAAACAGGTTTATGGAACTTGAATAACTTACACAGGGTGCATGTTGACATGAAAAACCATTTTGCACCAGAAAACCCCCCAGGTTCCATCCTGGTCCTATAAATTTATCAGTTTGAAACATAGATACATAAACTTGTCTTGATAAATATAAATGTCTCTGATGACTGTCAAGATGTTTAATTCTATGAACTCCAAAGCAGCACAATTTCAAATAATAATGAAGACATATCGCAGCCTATTTGGAAAATACCTGTATATTGAGACATTCAAGATCATGCATGTTTTTATCTTGTTGGCAAAGTTTATATTAGTGTCAGGTTGAACTGAAATTCTGAAATGAGCAACTGATTTCTGTGACCAAAAAAGCAGAAAATTTATAACCAGCTTTATATATTGTGTGTATTATGCACACATCGTGATCGTAGTGACATCCAACAAAATGGATGACTACAAAGTTGTCATAAACATGTGGGGGAGGAGATGGATTGGTCCATTTGTATTGAAATTTATAATAAATCACAGATGAAAGAACACATTGATAAATTGCAACACAAAAGTCAGGCCTGCTCCTACCACAATTCTGTATCAGTATTTTACTTCTGACATTAAAGATCAACATTCCTTATTCCTGTTTATCTTACGAACCACCCACACCACAAGCACAATGGTGTTACAATTCAGATGAATTGTAAAATATACTTTACAAAATATACCATTTTCTGCATATTTGTTAAAATATATTGTTCTTTATGTAATATATTTTACAGTGGAAATGGTAAAAAGGATATTTCCATAAATAATTTTTTTTGTTCCGGTGTGAAAGAATTATTTCAATGTAAGTTTTAGATTTTATAAGCCAACACATCCTCAACACAACTAGAAAATTATTTTTAGGCATGATTTAAAAAACGTTTTTCCAGCAGAATGTTTATTCCATGCTCTGTAATCATGATGCAAGAGCTCTCCTCGGCGCTGCCGTCCTGGGAGGATATATTAACATGAGGGGGAAACTTATTTCAATGTTTCTGTTTCAGGCTGGGTGGGCCAGACCCCATGGATTATATTAGCATGTATGCCAACCCTGGCGACCTTGGCAGACATATTCCTCCCCACTGGCATTATATCAGTTTCGGGCTTTCCGATCTCCATGGCGACGGCAGAGTACATGAGTAAGTGAAATTTGCAAAATATGTTTTAATGGTTAAAGGATAAGAAGGTGTGTTGTGTTTTGTTGATTTTTATGATTTTAGTCAATTTATGGTATTTGTGAGTTATTAAAGTTTGCACTAAGATTTTTTTAATATTGTTTCTGTTTGAAAAATGTCTTGTGTTGTGTTATGTGCTTTAAATTAAACTTAAACTTTAAAAAAAAATTAATTTAAAGAAAGGTTTGTGGTACAGAGTGGATATCGGTACATTTTTCACTGGTGTGGAATTTTTCATTACGGAAAATATAATATTAGAACATTCATTATCATGTGCTTATCACATGACATATTGTATAATTGAATACAGTTACCTAAGTTATTCATATATGCATGGTAACAATGCAATCCAAATATAATACTATGAAGTTGGTTTGTGGAAATTATCATTTTATCTTCAGTGTTTCCTGTTATTGTAAATTTCCAGTAATTCAGCTATAAATAGACCACATACCTGTAAAGTTTAATCTTTTTTGGTCCAAAGTATTGAATTGGGTATTTTTCAGTTGTCTTGGTCATGTAAACCTGTGAATTAATAACTGAAACCCCGATCCTTGCAGTCTGTCTCAACAACAGCTGAGTTTAGCTACCTGCGTTTTGTAATATTTTCCAGATGGATTTTAGTCTTAGTTTAGTGTTAGTTTTAGGTGAACATATTTGACTGAACAAGCGTTTACTCGACTCTGGCTTTAGTGGTTAAGGTCGCAAATTATCAAGCAACTTAATTATGATAAGACTGTCCTAAAGTCAGTGGTTATTTTGAAAGTTCAACACATGTATTTTTGTCAAAATTGAGATGCTTATTGATATGTTGTTTCTATCACAGAAAATTCCTGTAGATCACAAAGATTTTGGCTTTATTAATTAAGACATCTTTTAGTTAGTGCCTTTAATTATGTTTCCCGTTAAGAGTTGAAAATTATCAAGAGTTAATTTTTTTTCTTCTTCACAGAAACATTATATAGCGTTATTTGCAAAATAATTATGTAACTAATTTGTATATTGTGTTTACGGAAAGTTATTATACAATGTGATGATATTGTGCGTATTTATGTATTGTGTAATAATAGATTTCATACATGATATGTTTGTCTAACAACTTGGATTTGAAACAAATTTATACCTGGTGTCAATGTTATCATACAGAAATAATATGTGGAAGTGTATCAATCATGTACGTTCAGTTAAAGGACCGCCTCCGTGGTGTAGTGGTTAGAGCGTCCGCCCGGAGAGCCGAAGGTCGCGGGTTCGATCCTCGGCCCTGTCATAACAAAAGACGCTCAAATATGGTACTTGTTGGTCCCTGCCTGGCGCTCGGCATTAATGGGTACAACAAGGACTGGTCGGCTTGGAGTCATTATAATGTGTCTGAGTGGGGTATTCATGCTTCACTGCGGCATGGTATCTCAGTGGGCTAGCACTATAAAACCAGCTTAAGTCTGGGCTAGTACAAGCAGACGCACCTACACATACACACGCATGCACGTCGTCATATGAGTGAAATATTCTCAATCACGACGTTAAACCCAATTTCACCTCACCTCACCTCACGTTCAGTTAAAGAATAAGGTTTTGTAAAATAAGTTGCTTGTTTCTCATGATGTGTCTATTTTTAGGAGCTAAGAAATTAATTCTTCAACTCAGCTTTCTTTTCAAAGTCGCCAAGGTCAATTGGCTCATTACAATTGTGGTTATTGTTTAGATCTGTAACTTACTATGTGTTACCATGGTTACATTTCAAGTGACACAAATCAAGCACAATCTTCATTTGTAAAAGAAAATTAGAATTTGTGAAGAGGGAAGATATTTCACAAGTCTGACCCACCTATCCTGGAAGGGATTGAAGGGGAAACAAGCATATATTAATCTGGGGAAACAAAGACTTGTGTTACAGAGGTAGAGATAAGCTGCGTATCTGCGTAAATTACGCAAATATTTATGTGAAAACTCAATTCTTATCAAGTCTTTTGCGTACAAGTACGCTTGAATTTTGTAAATACTCATTATATTTGATCTTACATGCGTACACACGAAAATGTCAAATCTTTGCTTGCGTACCGGTGCATAGATAAAATAACTGAGGTATATTGAGAGGTTCTATTTCAACACATGAACTAGGCAACTTGCAGTCTTTCTTGTAATTTCTCATATTACAGATCCAATATAAATAACATTTAAACTTCATTATATTTTTACAATTAATGGAAAATGACAAAAAACAATTGAGTTTGAGTGAGGTGGCTACAATTTATTTGGTTACTCAAAGGAAAATTAGGATACCCAATTGATATGAGCACAAGCGAGTACATAACTCAGTGACCCCAAAAGTTATCTGTAGCTCTGGTGGTGTCTTATAAACAGATATGTATCTTTAAAATCAAATCCAAATGGAGCCGGAGACACTGCCATTTTCAGGCCTAAATCTGAGGAATTCTAGACTTGCTAAATCATTTTAGACTTGTGTTGGATCCATTTTATTCACGAGTTCTCAAGGATCTGGGAAACGTACAATCTGAAACGTATAGTCAGCATTAACGCTTTGTCAGTGTGATCTGTTAATGTGACTCTGCAGATTATTTCCCATTCATCAGAAGGGTAATGGAATAAGTGACACTTAGCTCAACGTTGGATGGACAGAAACAATAGCCGTGTCTCTTTGTATGGAACACTGGGTTCTTTCCTTTGTTTCAGGTGTGTTAATACTGATATCGAAGCTCGTCAGTTTGGGTGATCTGTTGTAATTAAGCAACTTCTTGTTGATGTCATTAGTGGGAAATTACATTAATAGCTTATTCCTGCGACAGGTCGACTGAATAGGCGTAGATCCTTTAAGACATAGGTTTTATCATGAAGACAAATTGGAAATCATGGACAGAAGCTATATATCTTGCTTGTGTAAGATATATAGTCCTTGACATGAGACTGATTTTTCATAAGTTAAGTCCAATTAAACTAAGTTTTGTTTTGCAGGTTAAAATGCATTAAGACAAAGAGGGAAACATAGAAATAAGATACACTTTTTAAGAATAATGAAATAAAGTTTGATATATATATATTGTACATCAGAGAAATGGAAATGTATTAGAATTAAGAGACTGTCTGTGAATTAGAGAATAATTAGGGAAGATAGAATTAGAATTGCCTATTGCAATGGATGTTTATTTGTTTTTTAAGTCTACACTCATCATATGACAGTGATGACAGTGATCCGTAAATAAATACAACTATAGTCTGTTTGCAGTCTCTCATTGTATTACAAGGGGGTAAGCGTTGTAGTTGGAACAGTGAAACAAATGCACGTGCGGTACGTGATGAGCGTTAACTTAGACCAACCATACTTGTTCTAGGTGTTTCCTCTAATGTGCATACCCCCTTGTAATACAAACCAATAATAGCGGTTTGAAACCATGATCGTTCGTTAAACAACTTTTATCCTAAGTTGAATAAAATTCTGAGATTTAAATGTTCAATTGGCAAGGTAAAATTATGAGGATTCGCAATCTTATTTTCACTTTATTCGATTTACTTTTTTGTTTAAAGTGAAATTCATCGGCACGTTTTCACTGCAAACAGACTATAGGATATGAAGATATGCATCAACCAAGTCACCGACCTTGACCACCCGATCCCATTAGTTCCATCTTACAACAAGCATGTACTGCAGAAGACTAGTTCTAACTTGGCTCTTCATGTGATCACATAATATGTGCGAGGCGACCAAATGGATTGCTTGGTCAGGGCTGTTCACTTGGTATAGTGTCATTGTACCCCAGCGGTGTGGATCATTGCTCTCATTATCAATCACTCGCTTTTCTGGTCCTCACATTGTTATTTACAGGTCACTGTCCCTTGAATATTACTGAATGCATGTTTGGAAAATTGTTTAAAGGTGAAAGGCTGATTATTGAAACAAGTAATTACTGTTGTGTAATTACTTTGTTTGATCACTTGTTTTATGGATTTGAATATTCAAAATTTCTGAAATATATAAAGAATCAACTATTTCCATTTTTGTCCCTTATGTTAGTATTAAAAAGATTGTTTTTATGCAGGAAGGGAAAATGTATATTTTTGATTTTGAAACAGTTCTTTTGACTTTGTTTGATCACTGTGAAATAGATGTAGAATCGTTTTTTTGTCACTTGTAATTTCATATGGTGTATATGTTCTTTTTGAGAGGACAACTAACAACGAGGGTCCAGGACAACTAACAACGGGTATGGCTTTGAGCTGACGTTCCGATTGAGACGAGAACCAGAAGAAACAAACCCACCGACCTGGCCTGCTGCCCTCATGCAATCTCTCGCCAGATATGTGTTCCAGTCAGGTAAGATTTATGTATCATGAAGTTATTTAAAGAATCATAGGCAATTTGGTGCCTTCAAAATGTAATGCAAACTGGCCTCTTGACCAGACTTTGTAATACTCCTTTCTTGACAACTGTTTATGTTTTATTTTTCAGAAAATGTATTATGTAGTGGTGACCATGTGTCGTGGCACACACCTCTCGACGGCAGCGAGTCCCGGATACAACACATGCTGATGACCGAGGACGCTCAGCTGCAGCCAATCACAACTCCCTTTGGTGTTGTCAACTTTGTCCAGGTAATATCATCGACTATAAGAGTAATTTATAGTCTGAACACAAGGTGGTGAAAACATTCAACTTTTGAAAATTTAATGGGTTTTGTTTCAAGCAGAAATCCCACAGTGCTAAAACTCTGTGAGTGGGTATTATTCAGCTCTGAAATTGTTTCATCATGTCCTGTTAGCTTAATGTTGCAGGAAAGCTTTGGTAAAACCCTTGAGCATGAGCATAATCCTGACAGACCAAGGAGAATAATCAGACTGAGATTCAAATCCATGATCGAAGGTTTCAGGCTTGCCAAGGGACACAACTTTGCATCTTCAGTTGCTAACAGCTTGTTTGAGGTACCACTTTGAGGTGTTTGCTGTCTTTTTAGGTACCTACCTGCCCGACGCACCGATGCTTAACTGAAATGCTGTTCAAAACAGTGTTAAACCCAACTCACTCATGATACAAGTCACTGTAGTTGTAAACATTCAGTAATGGATTTAAAGGTTCTTGGCCAAGATGGTTAGTTTCAGTTCTAATGTAAGTATCCCTGGGTTGTATGCTGCTCCCTGTTGTAGATTGTTGGAGTGTGTGGCGAGGAACTGAAGGCAGCCCAACACTGGAACGGACCAGGAGTTATCGAGCTGCTACGATCTAAAGCTGTGTGAGTATTCATTGGATAATAACTGCCATGGTCTAGTGAATAGAAGCCTCTGCCAGGACAGCAGAAGGTTTACAAGTCACGTCAAACCCAAAACAGTTAAAATAAGGAGCCTGGAGCTCGGCATTAAGGGGTTGAAACAAGGACTGGCTGGCTTGCAGTATACTGTGTCCATGTATCCATGTTGAAACTGTGGCAGGATATTTTGTCAGCTGTAACCTCGCAAAATGGCGTCACGCCGAAGACCCGGCTTCGAATCCCCACATGGGTACAATGTGTGAAGCCCATTTCTGGTGTCCCCCGCCGTGATGTTGCTGGAATATTGCTAAAAGCGGCGTAAAACCAAACTCAGTCAGTCAGTCAGTCTCAAAATGGCATAATCCAAACTAGTGAGTGAGTTTAGTTTTGCGCTGCACTCAGCACTATTCCAGCTGTATGGCGGCGGTCTGTAAATCATCAAGTCTGGACCAGACAATCCAGTGATCAACAGCATGAGCATCACTCTGCGCAATTGGGAACCAATAACTTGTGTGAACCAAGTCAGCAAGCCTGACCACCTGATCCCGTTAGTCACCTCTTGCTACAAGCATGGGTTGCTGAAGATCAATTCTAACCCGGACCTTCACGGGTCATAATCCAAACTAATACAGACAGATGTACATGCATGCTGCAGTAACATTACAACGTATGGTATGGATTTACAACTTTCTTTATATTCTTCAATATGTGCAGCAGTAATCTTGAATGCGACATTTAGCTTCTGGATTTCTATTTGTGAATGTTTCTGTGTACCAAAACATACCAAGGGACACATGTGTATCTCAAAGGCCACGTCTCAAAAGCCACTTCATTCCAAATGACTATAGTGTACATAATGTTAGAATGAATTCATTTACGTTCAAGGTAGTGCTTCATGCCCAAGTTGGTGGATGAGTAGTCTTGCATTTAACGCCAAAGAAGGAACATGGGGTACCCTAGTTATTAAAGCTTTTGCTCCACAATTAAGGCATTGAGTTATATTTCCAAAATGGTTACATTTCTATTGTCCCCCATCTTTATACTGCTTGATTATTGCTGTAAGCAGTGTGTATTGATAAGTGTTTCAGTTCATTGCAAGAGGGTTGAGGAATTTGTCGATTTGAATGTGATCTTTTGTTTTGTAAAGCGCTGGTGGTGCATGGCTGGTGACTGACATGAGGCGAGGGGAGACCATCTTTGAGATCGAACCATCGCTGCAGGTACAGTCTGATTTGTGTTACATTGTTTAATGTTGGCTAAAACTCAACTGAATATGGCATAAAAGTGACATTTATTCTCACATAGGACATCAATTTATTAGAAAAGAGATGTGATGAAGATGTTGGTTCAGAATACTATCATGGCTGCCATGTACGTCTGCTCCAGGAAACGGTGGATCATGGGATTGAGACCGAGGGGTCTAACCTGAGTGGTGTCAGCAGTCGGTGCTCGTGGGAGGAGCCAGGCGACCCTGATGCTCACAGCAACTATAACGATGATGATAAGGAGAACCGATTGGTGGAGATCGATCGCCGAGGCAGTGGAGATGTGGACAGGAGGATCATCACCGACTATGGTCAGTAATTGTAAGAGTTGTCGATAATGAAAACAGAAAGTGAGACAAATATATGAAGTCTGTTTCTGGTGTAATGATAACACTGCATACTCATTTACGTCATGTGACAGTCTCAAAATGAGACTAAGAAAGGAATGTTTATGTTTCAGAATCTGAACAAATAAAAGCGACTTTAAAGAAGGGTCTGAGTAATTCTCGGTCCAACGTCCCATCACACGGTGGCAAAGATGATGAGTACGATCAGTGAGTATTGGTTGTTGAATAATGAAATACAGCGCTTCACATTTCCGTGAAGATTCTTAGGGTTAAATATTGGTTAAAACAAATCATGTTCTCAGGGATAAAAGGATGCCGTTTTCAATTTCATAAGTTGTTTTTGATTTTCAGCAGGAATCAAAATTCGTCCCGGAAAGAGTCGTTTGACAGCACGGTGAGTTCTGAGGGTCCAACAGAACTGATCCGGACAAGGACTCTTGATGCCGTCCATTTGAAGTTTAATCTGGAAGCTGGCTCCCTTCTACCACTAGCTCTCAGGTAAATAGTATAGTAGAGGAGCATCTCCTGCACAAGCTTTTGTATCATGCTGTCTCCTAGCTTTTAGGTAGATAGCATCAGGGTCTCCGCCTCCCCATTTGTCTGGGAAATAGGATCAGAGTCTCCGCCTCCCCATTTGTCTGGGAAATAGCATCATATCTGCTGAGTATCACTTGCTCAGGATAATAGCAGCATGGCTCCCTCCTGTCACTAGTTTCCTGGTAAATATCATCATGTCTCCTTCTACATTAGTTGTCTGTAAAATACAACAGAGATCTTGAGGGTGGTTTTCAAAACCGTTTGATTTCTGATGACTTCATAAGCGACATGTGCCATGACATTGAGGAATTAGCCTGCCCTGATGAGGTGAGGGAATTTGTCAGTTTACACAGCGTTTATAACTGGTATTTTGGGGGGATCGGTCTATCGAATAGAATCCATGTATCTCCATTAGTGTATAGGGGAGCGGTGGGGTAGCCTTGTGGTTAAAGCGTTTGCTCATCATGACGAAGGACCAGTTTTGATTCCCCACATAGGTACAATGACTGAAGCCCATATCCAGTGTTCACTGAAAGTAATCATGAAAATAGCCAAATAGTTGAAGCATTTGCTCATCTCGCCGAAGACATGGGTTTTATTCCCAGCATGGGTACAATGTATGAAGCCCATTTATGTGTAAAACCAGACTCACGTACTCTTGACTAGTCTTTAAATGAACTTTCAAAGACTGTTTTAGCAACAAATTGTTGTTGTTTTTACTTGATGCAAGTATTTTGGGATAGAACAACATCTCACTCTTGGGGGAAAAGAAGTATCTGTAAGATAGCAACTACGTATATACTGTACATTGTACGTCTGAATTAGCCTGTATATGTAAGCGAATGGAGTTTGTTTGTATTTCATGAAACTATATTGGTCATAACATTTTTTACAATGATGTCATAGTACCATTTTCCACACATTGCTTTGCCAAATTTGATCATTCAGTATATAATTATGTTAGGCTGATGATGTACAACTTAAGTCCAACTAATATGGCAAAGATATAGCGATATAATTTTATATTGTGATAGAAAATGGCCTGGGTTCCAATTCCAGACATTGGTAGCAGTGTGAAGCCTGTGCCATGATATTGCAAAATATGGCTTCAAAAGTGGTGTAAATATATGTCAAATGTTGTACATCTTTACCATTGCCAATGGACACAGCGATCCTAGAACTAAAACCGTCTCAAGTCAATGTTAAAGTATGGGGGTAATGATCATATTTGCGAGGGAAAGTTTGTTTTGCAATAGCCTGTGTTCTTCACACATTGTAGCCATGTAGGGTATCTGAGTCTTCGGCGCGACAAGCGAACGCTTTAACCACTAGGCTACCCCATGGCCCCATTTGTCCCAATAATTACATGTACTTCTTCTCATGTTACTATATACAGTCAATAATTGTAAAAGCAGGGGAATAATATTTCACCTTATATCACATGTATGCCTGCAATAGACACCATGGGTAGATTTTTGGTGAGCTACCAAGCTGTTTGGTCCCCATCCATTGTCAAGGTTACACAACACCAAATGTTTTCCCTTAGACTTCTATAGTAACCTTTTATTTTTTTAAAAATCATCCAGGCTATCAACAGTCATTCCAGGTACACATGGCTACAGTCAGGCCTTTAAACTACAATAAAACACAATTTCTGGCCAAATTGTCCGGCTCATTTTCCCAGCACAGGAAGCGGAACACATCAACCCCAGTTCCGCACCAAATCTCACCTACTGGAAAATATCTGTACACACAATAAGCATAAGTCATGGTGATAAAAATCACAGCACTAAATACTTAAAATTGTGGTCCGCTTTGAATTACTGGATGGATGTGCTTTTAAAAAGCATAAACATCTTACACTATTTCATCCAATCACAGCTGTCACATGTCTCTATCTCTTCAGTTGTTTACATGCGGTTCACGCTCAGGGAGCATGTCATTCTGATTTAGTGTAGTGGAACCTCAAATGATGTGATGATAGTCGCTTGTGATGCAATGTGTGAAGCCCATTTCCGGTGTCCCCCGCCGTGATATTGCTGGAATATTGCTAAAAGCGGCGTAAAACCATACTCACTCACTCACTCACTTGTGATGCCTGACCATACTGATTGTTGTCATGACATCGATCACTAGTTTGTATGGACAAGACTTATTTATAGATCACAGTGAATGACTGTGCCATTGGATAATATTTATTGTTTATCAGAAGGGTCTGTTTTTATGTAACGCCCAAAACATTCCTGATGATATTATTATTTCATTATTCATTTATTTTACATTCCAGATGATGTGCCCAAAGACGTTCAGTTGGCCTGAGAAGAAACTCTGTATCACGATCCTGCCTGATGAGATTTAGCACTTCATGTGATTCAGTGATGGTGACAATTATTCTACTGTGGCATTCATATCATGGCCAATAAGCCATGTGTCTACCAAAGGTTCATGACGAAGGGCTCTAAACAGTCCTTAAAACAACTGACGTGATGAAGAGTCATCAAAGGGAGGTCACCTCTAAACTTGGCCATCTTTGGCGGAGACAACTCTTGACAAGATATTTCAAGAGCAGATAACTCTTTGACATCACTTTGATGTCCAGTATAGACAATGGAAGGGAGATAACTCTTATGCTTGTTATCCCATCTACTGTGTGCTATTGGAAATGTTTTAATGAATGAAAGCTTGTCTTTTACTGAAGGGACAAAGTTATGACTGGCGGATGCAACTTTCAGCACTTTGCGCTTAGAAAGAAGCTGTGTGTTGTTATTGGGGATACAATTATGCTGTAAAATATTAGTGTACCTGTTGGAGCAAAGACTATGTCATGAGTCCAGTGGAAAAGACACAGAAAACAGATTTCTGTCCATCGCATTTTCAAATAAGTTTTTTTTCACAGGTTATATCACATCCGACAAGTCATCTACTACAATTGTTACGATTCTATTTTCTTTGTATTGTTACGTTGTGTGTTATAGTTCATACAGGCTGTATCACTCATGTCTCTTAAGACGGATATTTGTGTATAGTTATCTTAATTTGTATGGTAGAATGCATTAGGTTTTTATCCCATTTGCAACATATTTTGTTTATTTTACAATCATTTCAAATGGGAATAGTAATGGCTTTGCATGTTTTTGGATATACTACTCGAAAGAAGTTGAGGCTTTCATGTTACTGTGGTTAAACTGTCATGCCATCAGATTGTCCTTAACTTATTTTGTGTGGTATATAAAGTCATATTATTGCATATTGTCCTTGAGTAAAATCTTGCTAAAATATGACAGAAAACAGAATCACCAACTGGGGAAATAAGTGTGATGGATTCTCTGTCTTTTTATGCATATTTCTTGATTCAGTGCTACTTTGTAATAATTTATGTCTTGTGTTTATGTCAATGGGGATTTGTGACAAGATGACAGGCAACACTTATATTTATTACCTCCCTTTGCATGGAAGCTCTATGCCATCATTGCCCTCAAGGGACCCTCACTGCCACCAGTGTGCAAGCAACCATTACAAGAATATTGACAAATTTGGACTGACGAACAGATAAGCATCCAACTTCCTACATGCATACTGTAATAATTACATGAAAGTTGAATTCAATTTGACAAACAAACAACATTATTTATCTGAGTAAATAAGAAAATATTCATTCATGGAAGGCTGTGCACCAAGTACATTTGGGAGCAGTGCCTGGTGATAGTAAAGAGAGCTCTCTACACTGCTATTGCTGTGAGGAGCTTGGTATTTAAGGAGTTCTGAGAAACTGACACAGATGAGATTTCCCTAACACCATCTGATCATAGTTACAGCCTTCTACTGAGATGTACAGATTTCTTAACACCATCTGATCATAGTTACAGCCTTCTACTGAGATGTGATTTCCCTAACACCATCTGATCATAGTTACAGCCTTCTACTGACACAGATGAGATTTCCCTAACACCATCTGATCATAGTTACAGCCTTCTACTGAGATGTACAGATTGTCAGTATATCCAGGTGATGACAGACTGTATACAGATAACATTACTGAAATGTCCAGCTAAAGGATTTCGGTAGTAAAGCAGGGAGAACATGTCGAAAATCACTAAGCAGAGTTGCATCCGTTGTTGTACCAGGATTCACTTACATTATTGTCCGTTGTTTGTTGGCTACACACACTTGGGGATTTCATCAAAGTATTAAACGTCTTCAATCTGTGTTACTGTTTTATCTGTCCCACCACATTTTATGGAAGGCCTTATCCATTAAAAATTGTTCAAATCTCACTCACTTACTCAACCCCACAGGGAAAGGAATATTCAAATGTAAGTGGGAGGTCACTTGAGACAATGATCAAATGTGTTGCCCCAAAGAATTTATGGAACACCAGTTTCTTTCAAATTGCTGTTAATCTGCATGACACAACAAAAGCAATGTCAGAGATTCAAATATTTTTTGTTACGTCTTTTGAGTTTAATACTGCAGGTTTTTGGTCGGAGGCGTGTCATGCTTCTGTTCAATAATTGGTCAAATGATATAAGTGGTCTGTATGATTGTTTAATTATTTAATTGATTACTAAACATGTTAAGTGCAACTTTGTTCAGGTCTGTGTAGGTATGTCTGTTATACTCTACTTATATTGCTTGCTGTTATGAATATATTATGTATATTTGTGAGTTTGATTGATATACTGCCAAATTTATCTCCTTATGTTAACTGCCCATCATCCTAGCAAGTAAAGATCTGAAAGTAGTTGTCAAGAATGCATAGTTAACAAAGGCCTCCTCATAAAGTTTTATGTTTCTGGTCCCTCCACAACTTCGCCACCTGCATCAGGTTGTTATATTTCCGATATTCACCAAGAGTAGAAAACTCTAATCATAAAAATTGTTTTTGGTCCTTTTCTGCAACATTTTCAACTGCCTGCATCGGGCTGTTTTTTTCCAGGGCCTCCTTTCACAAAGCACTAAGGTGATCGTAAGTCACTAAGGTAGCCTTAGTGCAATGTTAAAGAATGGGAGTTAAGGTTAACCTTAGTAAAGGTTGCTTTGTGAAAGGAGCCCCTGATATTACTAAGGGTAGATAACTCTAATCTGCTTTCCACAAACATACAAATTGCACAAATGTATAATGCTTAAAAAGTGCCTGTGTATGGAGGATGGATTATGCATCTGTCTTGTCACATGGAGACATCACACTATTGAAGATTTATAAACTGCTGCAAATTGGTATTTTATTACCAGAGATGTTTCCTACCAGATGTTAAAGGGCAACAGCACTCTGAATTAATGCATTTATAGAGATTATGTGTATCTCTTGTATGTTCAAGTCATCATGATTTAAATCTTGTTGGTGTTTTTGAATGAACAGGGATATTTCTTACCTTAGTCCTGGTCTTTTTTGGAGTGTGTGTTGTTTTTGGTTGAAGCATTAAGTCAGTGTGTAAACACGGACCTTACAGAATAATCTAATGCTGATTTGTACTTTTTTAATTTCATGTTTTCACTTGAGTCCTATTTAACAAAACAATTCAAACAAGCTTGATTCCCCAATATGACATGTACTTAAGAAATATAGGAGTAAAGATGTAACATGTCAGTGAACATTTTTTAGGTGAATGCGGTAAAATATATGAATTTTGATAGTAAAACAATGTATCATTCTTAGGACCATTATGATTTTGACTGATCTGTGCAATGCTTGTATTTGTTATTTGTTTCCAGAGAAATTGTAGATTTATGGGAAGTGTCATAAAATAACTTTCTGGGCTAATGATGTAGAATTAACAAAGGATGCTGTTGCAAAGTGGCATATTGTCCTCTTGTTTCTTTTACTTCACTTATTTTGCACCATATTGAGGCTGAATGTTCAGTTTCATTGATTGGAAGTTGGGCCTTGTATTTTTTGTTAGTTGGCTTTTAAAAAGATTTGGCCTCAGGTTCAATGTATGGGGTCGACCAACATGAAAAGTTATTTTAACCTTCCACATCAGTTGATTTTTCAATCATTTGGTAGCAGCACTAAGTTTTAACCCGGCAAGATACAAACATTTTTTATGGTTCTTATTTTTGTTACCATAAAGATTTTTATATGTATTACACACAATCAAAAGATTTTCTGTCCTCTTTTTCAATGTACAGAAAAACGATCTGGTTTAAAACATTTTGACCAAATGTACTTTTTTTTATTTTTTGTCATTCGTTGTGTGTTGTGAACCAGCTTAAGAAAGTATAAGGCCTTATAGCACTGTTATATATTGTTGTTGCCTTAGATGGTATTATAGCATAATAATTAGTTCATTGTGTCCAGACTTGTGGTTGGGTTTTTGGACATTTGGAAATTTTTTTACATTTCAGATTATAGTTTTGGAGTCTGCAGATTCATTTAAGAAGTTTTAAAAAAAAGAGTCTGGCCTATGACCTTATGTCCATCAGTATTGTCAACATTTTCATTACAAAACATCAAACATGTCTCCCATAGTATACGCGTCAAGGTTTCAACCATAGTGTATATAATCCAACAATCCACTGGTTGAAACACTGTATTTGTATAGTATCTCATTAGAGCCAAACCTGTACATTGTAAAAGCTTTTGGCGATATACAGTGTTTAGTTCATGCTTTGTCGTCCATATTGTGGTTATATGGGTAAGACTGAAGAGAGAAATTTAAGGGGTGGGATTAGGGGTCATGGGGTGGATTGAGGGGGACATGGGTGTGTGTTTTCAGGGGACTGGGTAGTAGAGCTGAGGTAGGGTTGTGAGTGGGATGTCTGATGGGGTGGATTCTTGATATTATATACTTACAGAAGTGAATGTGTGTGTATGTATACAAGAATGTCAGAATAAATGTCCATGAAGGATTTCTTTGATGTTTGTTCTGCTTTTTCTTAGATCTTACCTGAGGGTAAGAAGTAAACTTGTCAGACAAGGATTTTATAGTCTGCTGTTGACCTACATTGGTATAACAATTGTGCTTATAACAAAATGATGGATACAGCAAGCTGTTGGTAATAATACAGTAATAATGAACACTATAAGTTGTTCACTGGTCCCGAGGGGGACATGGGTTGATGTACCCTCGATGTTTGTTTATGTTCCCTGAGCCCTTCGGGTACATCAACCCATGGGCCCCAAAGGACCAGTGAACAACGTATTTATCTTACCGAACACCTTAATACATCATATGTGATTCAATGTTATTCGAGATAAAGAACTACTACCACGATGTACCAAATGCTTGTAAGCGGGGTACATTGAAAATAATAGAAGAGCGCTCAGCCAATCAGAAAGCGACATTTATGTGTGAGGTAAGGTAAGGGGTGATGTACCCTCTGTTTATGTTCACTGAGCCCGAAGGGGGAACATAAACAAACATAGAGGGTACATCAACACATCCGCGCCCCGAGGAACCAGTGAACTGTTTGAAGCACGGGTCATAATGAGTTCTGCATTTCCAGCAGGTAACATAGAAAATGTAAGCAGGGTACATTGATTGGCTCAGCCAATCAAAAAACGACATGCGAGGTAAGATAATAATTATTGGTCCCTTTGTGTTTGTTGTAAGTGTAGTTTATGTTTGGCTGTAGCAAGCTCCCAGTCATTTAGACCAATTTCTAAGTAATCTTTAAAACACTCTGTATTAGATCCAAACTTTAAATGACTGTCCATATGTAACAACATTGAAGAAGAGAAATGGAAGTATTAACTGAACTCCACAGACTCCACAATACCAGAAATATATTTCCACCTTGAATCAGCATCTATGGATGATGTACACTTGAGTTACACCTTCCTTGTTTTCATGCCGACCATTGCTCGTTTATGCCCTTGAGGCCGAGCATCAGGCAGGCTAACAACAAGTACCATCTTTTAACGTCTTTTGCTATGACATGGCTGGGGCTTGAACCACTGACCTTCCACTCCTGGCAGACACTCTTTGCACCATACCATAGGGTCTGTGGGATAGGAGCATTGTAACAAATTCTACTTGTGAATCACCTTTCAGACAAAGAACAAAATGCACATAGATTCTGACATTATAATCTTAATATTTACAGCAATATTTACAATACATATCAAAGACAAGTCATGCAAAACAATAAACATGAACTTATTTTCGACATTTCATTAAATGTGTGTGAATTTAAATGTGTAATCCAGATAGCACTGCAAAAAGTGTTGATAAACTTCTACACAACTGGTTTGATTAGCAATATTCCATATTTAGATGGCAATGTATAAATAATCAAGTCTGGACCAGACACTCCAGTGATTGACATAATGAGCCTTCACATCTGGGATATAACTTACATCAACCAAGTGGGCAGACAGATGAGCAAGATGATCCTATCTTGTTAGTCACCTCTTACAATGGCACCAACTGCTGAAGGCTGATTCTGATTAGTGTTGGGAATTGGTTAAAATCTCATAATTGATGATTGGTTCATTACCACCGATCAATCATCGAAAATAATTGGTTAGAGTCATTTATGAAATTTGTTAATGCACAAATAAATAAGGAAAAACACGTAGTTATTTTGGGGGTTTGGGCAAAATTTCACATCTTTAAAGGATATGACTAGTATGTTAGGAACAGAAATTTCTTGGTGTCTTTAAGATAAATTCAATCATGGCTTGGAACGAGCTTATAGTGCTTATGAAATGTAACAGACAAAACCAACCTTGTGAAAAATATTGTTGATGAAAACAAGTGTTCCAGAATTGTTTGTGTTCGATTATGAGAAAACATGATCGATTGCTTGGTCGTTTGGTCACTGCGACCAATCTTCGATTATTTCAATTAATCGGATCACCACTAATTCTGATCACAATCTTTACATTTGTACACTGTAACCAAAGGGTGGCTTAAAGGATAGAAACTTTGTTGCAGAGAGATATATGGTTCAGAAATAAGGCTAAGATAGGAAACATGATTATACTACACAAAAACACGACATTTATAATTATTAGAATTACTACAGACCAGACCAGACCCAAACAATTAGTTCTTCAGAGCAACTAACAATGGGAGAGAACTCTTCACAAATCAGAAACCAGAATATTCCACATTTCATTATTCAAAGACGTGTATTGCTATAACATCTCGTGGTTTGGGGGCAGAAACAATTACAATGAGGATGTTAATATGAATCATTACTGCCCTACAGAATACAAAAATGGTACTACTGTAAACTAAGTTTTCAATGAACAGGCTTATAATTAACTGATGGATAAAATGAACAGGTTTTTTGGCCCTTGCCTCTTGCTGTATATTTTAGTTGAAATGCATGTAACGAACTATGGTAATAATGAACTAGTGAGTGAGTGAGTTTAGTTTTATACCGCTTTTAGCAATATTCCAGCAATATCACGTTTGGGGACATCAGAAATGGGCTTCACACATTGTACCCTTGTGGGGAATCGAACCAGGGTCTTCGACATGATGAGCGAACGCTTTAACCACTAGGCTACCCCACTACCCCAAATAATGAACTAAAATTAGTGGTCCCTTTGAGTTCGTTATAACCATAGTTTACTGTATTCTATGGCATTTCGCTAACTTGATTGTCCATTTACTGTCACATGGAACTGATTCATGATAGTTAACTTTGAACACAGGCTATTGCAAACAAACTTTCCCCTTGCAAATGTGATCATTACCCCCATACTTTAACATTGACTTGAGGGGCGTGAGTTAATATTTAAATGAGGGGCGGTGGGGTAGCCTAATGGTTAAAGCGTTGGCTCGTCACGCCGAAGACCCGGGTTCGAATCCCCACATGAGCACAATGTGTGAAGCCCATTTCTGGCGTCCCCTGCCGTGATGTTGCTGGAATATTGCTGAAAGCGGCGTAAAACCAAACTCAGTCAGTCAGTCAGTAACATTGACTTGAGACGGTCTTAGCTCTAGGATCGCTGTGTCCATTGGCAATGGTAAAGATGTACAACATTCGACATATATTTACAACACTTTTGAAGCCATAATCTTGCAACATCATGGCACAGGCTTCACACTGTTACCAATGTCTGGAATTGGAACCCAGGCCATTTTCTATCACAATATAAAATTATATCGCTATATTTTTGCCATATTAGTCAGTCTAAGTAAACTTAGCCTCAGTATTATTCGTTACCCTACTATACTAAGGTCTAACAAAACCTTATGGAAGGTCGCGTCAGGTGACCTTTGAGCGACCTATGACCGCCCAATCAAACGCGAGACGGCCGAACGTATTTCACCAATCAGACACAGCCTCAAAACGGTCTTAGCACAAAGATGATCTTAACTCCCATGCTGTAACACAGCCTCAAAACGGTCTTAGCACAAAGATGATCTTAACTCCCATGCTGTAACACAGCCTCAAAACGGTCTTAGCACAAAGATGATCTTAACTCCCATGCTGTAACACAGCCTCAAAACGGTCTTAGCACAAAGATGATCTTAACTCCCATGCTGTAACACAGCCTCAAAACGGTCTTAGCACAAAGACGATCTTAACTCCCATGCTGTAACACAGACTCAAAACGGTCTTAGCACATAGATGATCTTAACTCCCATTTACACAGGATTATTGTCAATGTAAATGTCAGGATGTATGATCAAGGATATTAAAATATTACCATCCACATGATTTACCTCTCTTTATTCTATAACATATTTTTAGAAATAATAACTAAATCTAAACTGAAGAGTTACTAGTTTAAATTTGAGAATATCGAGATGGTGATTGTGATTAACAGTTACTCTAAAGATACATACACACCTGTTGGAAATTACAATCTAGCTTTTAAACTTTCTATTGCAATAAACATTTGGACATGCAGTTAATATTGCCTTATAATATTCTGGCACTTATCAGAGTGTTCAACACTATTATGATGTTGAATGTAATGCTTTGGACATCAGTGAACTTGAATAACAAGTCAAAAGTGAGCACACATCACATATCCCCGGTGAATTAATATCACAGCTTGTTTCACAATCAAATATGCTTGTTGTGGAGACGTGCAAAGGGGACTATTGGTTTGTGACGATGTATCATGGTAGACAGATTTGATTCACTGTTTGCAAATGGATTCCTGTCACTAGACAGATCCTTGCAGTGGAGTGAATGCTCAGGTTTCGTTGTGAGCACATCTAATTGTCTCAGTTCACTCAGTACCTTGTGTACATCGGCACCATAGTTTGGCAAGTGATGAAATCCCTTCCTCTGTTTCAGATTGCAAATGTCTTCAAAATTCCGCACAGACTGGGTAAGATGTGGGTACTCCTTGGAATGCTGAATGATACTCTCTTTGGTCTTGTGGCCGGAACATGCAATTTTGCAATTTTGAGTATAGTAGGGTAACGAATAATACTGAGTAGAGGAGTGTAACGAATAGTACTGAGACTAAGTTTACTTAGACTGCCATATTAGTTGGACTTAAGTTGTACATCATCAGCCTAACATAATTATATACTGAATGATCAAATTTGGCAAAGCAATGTGTGGAAAATGGTACTATTACATCATTGTAAAAAATGTTATAACCAATATATTTTCATGAAACACAAACAATAAACTCCATTCGCTTACATATACAGGCTAATTCAGACGTACAATGTACAGTATATACGTAGTTGCTATCTTACTGCACCCACAGCACAGCCTGATTTTGTTTAGTTTTTGGCAGCTACTGCATCTACTGCTCAACATAACACGGAGAACTGCTCATATAATCCAACCCTCAATTTCTGTACAACTATTTTTTGGGTTTCATCTTCTTGCTCTCTTGGCTGGTGGGCTCTTTTCTCGTCGACTTCGTGTTTCTCTAACTGGAGGTGCAGCCATGGATCTTGTTTCTCTTTGAGTAGGTTGTGGAGGTGGTGATGCATTTCGCTGTCGTCTCGTTTCCCTTACAATTGGTGACGGTGGAGATGGCGGCCTCTGACCCCTTCTTTCCATCCTCGTGAGCGGAGGGGAGGGTGGCCCTGGGGACAGAGTTGGGGGACTTCTGCCTCGTCTCCCACGCCCAATACCTTCCATAATAGGTGGGGGACTAGGCGATCTCTTCGCACGATGACCACGACCTATGCCCTCTGGAGGTGAAGGACTTCTCACTCTCCGAGGTCGTCCTACTCCTGCACCAGGAACAGGAGGACTTGCTCCCCTTCGTCCTCGGCCCATTGGTTCAGGAGGTTGAAGTGGGCTTCTTGTATGGCGTCCCCGGGTGATCATTTCTGTGGGCGAGGGAGCATGTCTTCTTGTTCGTGGTCCAGTATACTCAGAACTGGACAGTCGAGTGCGTCTCATCTCTGGTGGTGATGGAGGTCCGTGGAGATCTGGAGGTGATTCCTCCAGAGGTGAAGGCGGACGTCTCCCCGGTGATGGAGGTTGGTGACGTAGATCTGGAGGCGTTTCGGGTGATGGAGGCCTCCTTGGTGGTGATGATGGAGGACGTCTGACATCTGAAGGTGACCCCGGTCGTCTGCCAGGCATTGGCGGAGATGGTGGTCTTCTACCAGGCAAAGGAGGAGATGGTGGCCGGCGGCCAGGTGATGATTGCTGGCGTCGAACATCAGGGGATGGTGGTGATTGGGGTCGCCTGCCAGGTGAGTGTCTAAGATCAGGAGGTGATGGAGGACGTCGTCTGGGCTGCATATGTGGTGAAGGGGGACGTCGATGATCAGGTGGGGATGCAGGGCGTCGAGACTGTCTTCGAATACCTGGCGGCGATTCTGGTGAAGGTGATCTGTATATATCTGGCGGCGATGGTGGCTGCTCCATCAGGTCGTCAGGAGATATGGGTCTTCTACCACGTGTCATACGAGGCTCAAGAGGAGATGGAGGCCGCCTCATTTCAGGACTAGAACCTCTCCTTATCATCATTGGTGATGCATGTCTCATATCTGGTGAAGGGGGCGATGGAAGATGACGCATAGGAGAGCCTCTCATTCTCATATCTGGAGACCCAGGTCGCTTCAGAGGAGATGCAGATCCTTCCCTGAACTGTGCTGGACGGCCCATATCATCCCACCCACGTCCTGGAGATGCCCCAGGTCTTCCGAAGCCCTCTGATCCACTGCTGTAGGAGCCTAGTGGGGAACGTGAGCGTGGAGGAGACCTGCTCTCCATGGCACCTCGAGGAGATCGGTGAGACTGCCACTCACGGAAGTACTGAGGGGAGTTTTTGGCTATGGCCCTGGAAAGGAGACACATAGAGAATGCATCAGGTGTTAAATCATAAACATCAAAGTAATTAAAGACGATTAAAACAATTCTCATACCAACTAATGAGTGAGTTCAGTTTTATGCCACTTTTAGAAATATTCCAGCAATATCACAGTGGGGAACACCAGAAATGGGCTTCAAACATTGTACCCATGTGGGGAATCAAACCCCGGGCCTTCGGCATGACGAGCGAACGCTTTAACCACTAGGCTACCCCAACCGCCCAAATACCAAATAATGTCACATTCTTATTCTAACAAATCTGTAGCATGCATAAAGATGATATACCAGTGTTAAACGTATGAGGAAATTAACAGATCTGGGCCTCTTGCTTTTCAAAGGACATTTTTACAAGTCTCAAATCTAACTCTTGAACTGAATTGCTGCATATCAATACACATTAAACAATTGGAAACTTGACTAACAACTTCAAATTCATTTTGTACGTGACATACAGGGGAGTCACTTACTTTGTACATAAATTACTTTGTACATAAATTTTAGGGGGGTCATTCACATTGTACATGCTTCTCCATAAAAATCATCATCACACCCCCTAGCCATAATTATGAAGGGTCCCTAACTCCAATTACTGCTATTGTTTAATGCTGCTGTCAGTAATATTAGATGCTGTATAAAAATGTCTAGACCCAAAAATATATCAATTGATACTGTGAGGAACCATCACTTTTTGTTCAAAAGTAGTTAGAGTGAGTGAGTGAGTTGAGTTTTACGCCGCACTCAGCAATATTCCAGCTATATGGCGGCGGTCTGTTAATAATCGAGTCTGGACCAGACAATCCAGTGATCAACAGCATGAGCATCGATCTGCGTAATTGGGAACCGATGACATGTGTCAACCATGTCAGCGAGCCTGACCACCCGATCCCATTAGTCGCCTTTTACGACAAGCAGTCGCCTTTTATGACAAGAATGGGTTGCTGAAGACCTATTCTACCCCGGATCTTCACGGGTTAAAAAGTAGTTAGAACTATTATTGGATTTTAATGTGATTTTTCTGTGGTTAGATACCAAGTTAAGGCACCTAGTCATGAAGCCAAATGAATATCTCAAAAACACAAAACTTACAACTGTCTTGAACGTCTCTCTGCTTCTCCAAAGAACATGTGTCCTTTCCTCAACCTGTTGTCCATAGGTCTCATGTCCATAGGTCTCATGTCCATAGGTCTCATGTCCATAGGCCTCATGTCCATAGGTCTCATGTCCATCTGCCTAGTCCTTCTCTCAGCTTCACCAAAGTCCACATCAGCAAGTCTAGCCCTCCGCAGCCTCTTCTCTGCTTCACCAAAGTCAACTCGGTCGATTGGAGTCTTTGCACATGGACGTTTATCCTCTTCCTCTACTATCTCACCAAAATCAGATTCCGAGCTGATGTCTGAACATGACTGAAGAGCTCCTGCTCTCTCTTTGGACTGGCTTCTGCGTCTCTTTCTGTCTTTAGGAGAAACAGACCTTGACCTTGAAACTGACCTTGATCTTGATCTTGATATTGACCTTGATCTAGATCTAGATCTAGATTTTGATACCGACCTTGACCGTGATCTATGAGAAGTGCTGGAACTGCTTCTACTTCTACTTCTGCTTCGAGTGCGAGACTTCTTCCGACCTCCCCGTCTGATAATTCTCCCAAATTCATCAGTTTCCTCCTCTTCACTTGAACTACCAGACCGGCTGCTCTTGGAGCTGTCTCGTCTGCGTCTGCATCTGCGATGGCGTCTGCTGTCTGAGCTGCCTGATCTGCTGGAGGAATCAGAGCTGTGCTTCTTCCTCCGTCTTGACCGCTCCGAGTCTGAATCTGAGTCCGACTCACTCCTTCTCCTTCTTCTTCTTCGTCGGCCAGGTTTACTTGACCTTGAACTTGCCTTTGTTTCCTGGGGCATCTCAACTTTGACTATTTCAACAGCTGGGGACTCGGTGTCTCGTGTACCCCTCTCTGCTTCATCTGCTGTTGACTTTGAAACGGGAGGGTCGACCTTTTTCACTGCTTCTGTAACACCAGGCGAGCTCCTTTGTCGACTGAAATGACAAAAATCAGCATATATAAGTGATTAATGGGGACATTTGCAATAGCATTGTAATTATTGTTGTTCATTAAATTATTTATTGGACAATGAAAACAATGCACATTTTCATAGCTGAACACTAAAAGCTTTGCCTGCTCTCAAAAGCTACATAACAAAAGAGCAAAACAAAATTCTAATAATTTTGCTTCCTGAGATTGAGAAGGCTTACTCACTAGTAACTACTTGGATGAAAATGTGAGAAAGAGGGAGTTCTATGTCTTTCTTAAGAATAGTGTGCACAAATATTGCTGTGATCTTCTTAGGTGTGATCTAGTTTTCATGTGAACAACATTCAGTATCACAGCTGGAGACACAAGAAATGGGCTACACACTTTGTACCCATGTGGGGAATTGAACACAGGCCTTCAGCATGATGACTGACTGACTGACTGACTGTGAGTTTGGTTTTACGCCGCTTTTAGCAATATTCCAGCAACATCACGGCGGGGGACACCAGAAATGGGCTTCACACATTGTACCCATGTGGGGATTCGAACCTGGGTCTTCGGTGTGACGAGCCAACGCTTTAACCACTAGGCTACCCCACCGCCCTCAGCGTGATGAGGCAATGATTCCACCACAAGGCTACTCCACCGCACCGGAGAACCCAAGAGGCAAGAATACAATAAGTATAATCAATACTGCGCCAACCAAGCTAAGTCCACCTACCCACTACGTAGACCCCTGACTGGCGTATCTAGAGAGTCCTTGGCGACAGGTGGGGTCAAAGGTCTGCGGTGACTGATTCTGGGCTTGTAAAGGTCATCAGTGCTGTATCTCTGACTAGATTTGTTCTTGCCATCTGCATCTGGGGATTTGCCTCTGTGGAAAGAATGCAGGATCAGATGTTGTGTAAAGTTTCATAAATGGTTTATCCTTGATATATACTGAACATCATTGAAAACGCACCAGTCTAAAATTGTCCATATTTTCATCAAGATGGATTTCAGCATGACAATGATCAATGAATATAACTAAAATGAAGTCGAAGGGCATGTCCAGTTGAAAAAATGCTTTAGAAACAAATTCCTGTCCACAGTATGACTCTTAATTCCAAAATGCATCAACATGCAGCCACGCCATGAAAAAAGCGCGAATTTCATTTCATTCTGAAATCATACTGACTGTGACATTAAAAGCGGATGTATGAGAACCGATTCTCATTGCTTCACTAACGATTGTGTAACGAGGACAGAGATGCCGAGGTTAACACCTCACGAAAGAGAATGTGCACTAGGCATGATTCAGGTTGGCACCAGCAGCAGGGATATTGCTTGACAACTTGGACTTGGCCACTCCACCATCGTTAGGCTTCATAGACGACATCAGTAGACAGACAGCACCCGTGACCTTCCATGACCTTGGCAACAACGTGTTACGACGCTCCATCAGGATCGCCATATTGTCCTTGTCCAGATCAGTGATTGAACACTGCCGACTGCCAGGACTGCAGCACTTGTTCAAGGTTGACGTGGGGGTCATCAGCGCTGACTCCATGCGACGCTGTCTATACGCTACTGGGCTCCATGCTCGACATCCTTAAGTTGGACCGATTGTGACTGACAGACACAGTAATGAGCTGATACAAAGGGCAACAATGGCATGGTGGGTATTTTCAACTTCATCTCACGTAATGCTGGCGGCTGATTAAGTGTTTGGCGTAGACGTGGTGAACGTTATGCTGATGAGTGTGTGGTTCAGACAGACCTTTGGGTGGTGGGAGTGTCATGGTCTAGGGTGGAATAAATTACAATCACAGGACTGCCTTCATGTCTGTCAAGGGAGAGTTAATGCCCTTTATTACCGTGAGCAGATTCTTCAGAATCACATCGTATCTGTCTTCAATCACCACCAAGATGTCCATACTTTTCAACAGGACAAGGCACGGGCACACACAACAAGACTTTCCATGCAGTATCTGGCCCAGCAACACATCCAGGTTATTCATTGGCCAGCACAGTCACCAGATGTATCCCCCATGGAGCACCTGTGGCACGAAATTGGTCAAAGTCTTTCGCGGTGACAACAGATGCGAAACATCCGGGAACTTGAGGCTGCACTACGGCAGAAGTGGAATGCCATCCTCAAGAACTCTATTCGGACGCCTATTGACTCAATGAGGAGACGTTGAACTGCATGTGTCAATGACTTTTCGATTTGACCTCACGTGTGTTTGATCCTTTCTGACTGTGGAACATTTCAATGAATGAGTGTCTTTTCTGTGTTGTTGTTTTTGTCAGTCGTCCATCTGTTATTATCCACTCAAACAATATCAATTCCTTACACGTGCTTTTAATAATCTGAACTTTTATAAGTGGTGCGTTTTCAATGATGTTCAGTATATTTTATGTGAGACATCAACTTTACCATAAACACTATCACAGTGAGTTTTGTTTTGTTTGTTTATTGTTTTATGCTACCCTCAGCAATATAAGATGACAGTCTGTAAATAGTCAAGTCTGGACCAGACAAACCAGTGATTTACATCATGAGCCTTGATTTATGCATATGATGATCTGCATCAACCAAGTCAGCAAGCCTGACCACCTGATCCCATTAGTCGTAATTTGCTTGGTGTCAAATACCATGATCATGACATGACAATCCAGTAACAGATAACAGAGTAATGAGATAAGTCATGACATGACAATCCAGTAACATGAAAATCCAGTAACAGATAACAGTCATGACATGACAATCCAGTAACAGATAACAGTCATGACATGACCATCCAGTAACAGATAACAGACATCGCGGAGTCATGACATGACATGACCATCCAGTAACAGATAACAGTCATGAAGACATGACAATCCAGTAACAGATAACAGTCATGACATGACAATCCAGTAACAGATAACAGTCATGACATGACAATCCAGTAACAGATAACAGTCATGACATGACAATCCAGTCGTCGATATAATGAGCAATGATCCGACAAGGACATGGTACCAACCAAGTCACAAAGCATAACAATCAGATTCATTTGGTCAGCAAAAGGCGCTGGGAACCAATTCTAAACTAGAATCCCCACGGCTTCATGAAATTCTGGTTAATACTAACCTCCCTGAGTCCTTTCTCCCTCTCCGTACTGGCACATCATCACTGGGACTCACTGTCCTCTGTGACCGCCGCATGGGTGTCTGTCCTGACTGGCTGCTCTCCCCTGATATGTTCCTTTTTCTTCTCGGAGCCGCCTTCTCCGAATCCGTCCGTGACGATGTATCAGATATATCACTGTATGGAGAAGCAGGTCTTTCCCTGCCACTCGTGTCATTACTTTTACTGTCATCACTCAACCTGCTACGGGACCTCGTGATGTGCACCGACTGACCCACAGTCAGGGTAGTGCTAGCTATGGGGATTTCTACTATGGGGATAGGCTGTTCTGGTAAGGGAATATTGCTAACGCTGTCCAGATTAAACTGTTCATCTTGGGTCGGAGTTGCTGGTGAGCCTGCCTTCACTTCCATCTCCTCAGGAATAACATACTCGGATGTGTCAATCTCAATTGTCTCCTCGATGACGTCAGTTACGATTTCTTCGGTGTAGCTCTGACTACTGAAAGGCTGTTTCTTTTCTGTGAAAATTGTCTCGAACTCCTCCGAGGTGTACCGTGTGTTGCGTTTGCGTTGTCGTCGGAGAGCTAGTTTCTTCTCCATGACCTTCTGCTGCATCAGTTGTTCCTTCAACTGCTTCTTGGTTCTTCTCCGTGGTTGAGCCTTCTTCTCCGTTTTCGCTTCTTCTTCGTCTTGAGATGTCGTTGAGGTGATGGATGTCATTGATGTGTTCAATTCTTCTTCTGTTTTGTTCACTGAAAATTGAGCATAAAAGTTCATTAGATCACTACAACTGTGGTAATTTGAAATTAAAATCAGTACTTAAATTTGTAATGCAGGGCTTGAATTAAGGACTTGATTTAATTTCCACTAAAGTGCAAGTTGTCATGAATTTGCATTTGACCTTCTTCCTTAAATGATAGGTGAGGTGAAATTGGGTTTAACGTCGTGCTTGAGAATATTTCGCTCATATGACGATGTGCATGCGTGTGTATGTGTATGTGCGGCTGATTGTACTAGCCCAGACTTAAGCTGGTTTTATAGTGCTAGCCCACTGAGATACCATGCCGCAGTGAAGCATGAATACCCCACTCAGACACATTATACTGACTCCGAGCCGACCAGTCCTTGTTGTACCCATTAATGCCGAGTGCCAGGCACTATCAATGATAGACAAGCAATGGTTGCTGAGATTAATTCTAACCCAGATCTCCAGGGGTCATGGATGTTTGTAATCAAGAAGGTAACTCCAAGGTCCCTTAAGTTGTAGATATTACGAATAGGCATGGGTACAAAGCAAGAACCGTAATAGTCAGGTGACATACATACCTGATTCTTCTGTTTTTTCCTCAATTGATGACTCAGCCTTAGCTTCTTTAGCCTTCCTCCTTTCTTCTTTCAATCTTGCTTTTTCTTCCTCTCGATCTTTCCGTTTTGCCTCTAGCTCAGCACGGCGTTGCAACCTCTTCAGATAACGCTCCTCCTTCTCCTTGGCCTAGAAGCAAGGTTCAGGTCAAATCACATCCAGGTCACGTAAGGTCAATTTAGAACAGCAACATTTGAACAATCAGGGTGTCACAGGACACTGTAATAAACTGAAATCGCAACGATGGGGAATATAAATAACAAAAACAATTTAGCTCTTGATCCACAAAGGAAAAGCCAACTTACAATTCTTGCTTTCCTCTCCTCCCTTGTCTCATCATCTTCACTGTCGCTGAGGTTGTAGGTCAAGGCCAGAAGTTTGCGGGGTTTGACTGGTGTTGATGTCGAGTCAGCACTACTGGTCACGACTTCAGGAACTGCTGGGGGTTTCGGCAGACTGGGCTTCTTTTCCGGACTTCCTTTCTCACTCTCAGCTACAAGTGAATAAATGTCAGCCTCTGTTAAGTCAGGAGGTCTTTATCAAGGTCATCTGCTTATTTCATTACACTTATTTATACGTTCAGGTATGGACTTTGACTTACACAAACACGGTCCAGGGAACCCAATATAATACAGTTCATGGATCCTTACAGAAAATATTAGAGCCACACAAAGGTGTGAATGGGTGCACCTTCTTTTAACACTTTTCATCCAACCACACTGCCACAAAAGAAACCTATTTTTCAAGGCATTTTTCTGTGCACAATTTCAAAGGTGAGGTGAGGTGAAATTGGGTTTAATGTCGTGCTTGAGAATATTTCGCTCATATGACGACGTGCATGCGTGTGTATGTGCGGCTGCTTGTACTAGCCCAGACTTAAGCTGGTTTTATAGTGCTAGCCCACTGAGATACCATGCCGCAGTGAAGCATGAATACCCCACTCAGACACATTATACTGACTCCGAGCCGACCAGTCCTTGTTGTACCTATTAATGCCGAGCGCCAAGCAGGGACCAACAAGTACCATATTTTAACGTCTTTTGGTATGACGCGGTAGGGGATCGAACCCGCGACCTTTCGCTCTTCGGGCGGACACTCTAACCACTACACCACGGAGGCGGTCCAATTTCAAAGACCCACCATGAGAAATCCCTGGCCTTTGAATGTGTTTAGCAAGAATGCATTCACAACTGAATTCTCTGTGATACAAGAAATGAAAAATCTTAAAAAGTGAGACAAGAATCTGAACTGAATCCTCCTCACCTTCCGTTTCCTTCTCAGTCTCGAGTTCTTCCGTTCCTTCCAACTCTTCATCACTCTCAGACAACAGTTCCAGCATCTCATCCTCGAATGACGACAGGTCGCTGGTGTGGATAGAACTGACAGTTACATCCGACATCTCGTCCTCATCCTTCACAGTCCAGGCAAACTTGTATGGCCGTTTGGTCTCCGTGGTTTCCGGTTCCTTCTTCTCAGTGTCCGGTAGTTTAATATCTTTTGGTGCTGGAACATCCGGTAGAGGGATTTCTTCCAAACTTGGTTCCACGTTGATCGTTTCCTTCTCAACAGCTTCCTTCTTCACCTCAGTTTTAATCTTGGGTTCTGTGGGTGGGGGTGGAGGTGTAAATGGCTCCTTTTTAATTGGCTCGGCTGGTTTGACCTCTGGTTTGGATTCTTTTGTAGCATAACTGCTAACATTAGCCAGGAGATTCAATGCCCCGACTGGGGGCGTGGCGGTGGGGACAGCCCCTGGGGTAGGGGGTGTGGCAATAACAGGGGGGCCAGGAGTTCCTGGGGGAGCTGGGGTGTTTGGAGTTGCATATCCTGGAGTGATGGGGCCATGTCTACAGTGCCTGGGGGTGGGGTGTCTTGCTGCCCGGTTTGGAAGCATGTTAGGAGGGGGCACAGAGACATCAGGCAGGGGGGAGGGTGGGTGGAGGGATGTTGGTTGGTGGAAGGGTAGTTGTTGGTGGGGGATGTTTGTGGGCGGGGGAATGAAAGGTGCAGCTTTAGCTGCCCCCTGGGAGTGCTGTGGCACCAGGGAGGGGTGGGGGTGGGACATTTAAAGGGGGTAGCTGGTTGAACATGTTGACTCCCGGAGGCCACCCTGGCATGAATGGGAAGGGCTGGTGCATCATCATGAAGGGGGAGGAGGAGAATGGCACTGGGGGAGGGTTGTTGACATTGGGTGGGGAGAAGGGGGTCTGTCCACTCCAGCCACCATCTGGGGGGTAGGTCGGAGTGAATCCTCCCATCATGACATTATACTCAGGAGAAGAGAAACCTGCAGAAAGAAAAGATGAGACCCAAAATACAAAGAATGCAATGAAATAGACCAAAGGGAGGTAACTGGAGAAATAATATAGTTGAACATAAGACATGTTTTTTAAATCATGAGCTGAAGTATAATGGTTGGTTGGTTTGTTGTTTAACACCGCACTCAGCAATATACCAGCTATATGGCCTCGGTCTGCAAACAATTGAGTCTGGACCAGACAATCCAGTGATCAACGGCATGACCATCAATCTACGCATTTGGTATACGATGATCTTCACATTCAGCTACACCAAAGTTATCTGACAAAATTTACTTGCATACTCAGAATGGCCAGTGAATTCTTGGCTCAGAATTAATGGTGAGGTGAGGTGAGGTGAGGTGAAATTGGGTTTAATGTCGTACTTGAGAATATTTCGCTCATATGACGACGTGCATGCGTGTGTATGTGGATGTGCAGCTGCTTGTACTAGCCCTGACTTAAGCTGGTTTTATAGTGCTAGCCCACTGAGATACCACGCCGCAGTGAAGCATGAATACACCACTCAGACACATTATACTGACTCCGAGCCGACCAGTCGGGGATCGAACCTGCGGCCTTCCGCTCTCTCCGGGCGGACGCTCTAACCACTACACCACGGAGGCGGTCACAATTAATGGTAATAACAATAGCATTCACAATATCTACCCCGGAATCCTCACAGCATTAACTATTACCTGGTGTGGCAGGCGATGATCCAACCTGTTGCTGTTGCTGTTGAGCCTGTTGCTGTGCTGCTTGATGTTGGAGCTGTTGTTGCAATTTTCGTCGCTGTTGTCTCTCTTGATATTCCTTTGGATCAATGCCAAGGTGCTTACATACTGCCTCATCAATCTTAGGTTTAATCACCTGGAATATTTTGGGGTTCACCACCTGTTCGATGATTCTTTCCACACCATTGTTCAACATTCCAGATCTGAAGAATAGTTTGTGAGAACAGAATGAGTGAGGCATGCATAACTTTGTGGGTGAGTAATTATTCTGTGAGCCAGTCATGTTCAGCAATATTCCAGCCATATTTTAGTGGAAGACACAAAGAATATCCTCACATTACTTCCATTCAGAGAAGATTGAGTGAGTGAGTTTATATTTATGCCGATTTTAGCAATATTCCAGCAATATCATGTCGGGGGACACCAGAAATGGGCTTCACATATTGTACCCATGTATTAAATCGAACCCGGGTCTTCGGCGTAACGAGCAAACGCTATAACCACTAGACCACCCCACTGCCCCATATTCAGAAAAGAACCTGGATCTTCGACAAATCAAGCTGACACTCACTCTAGACTTTCTTGCACTTCAGTGACAAGATGAGGTACTGAGGACCTTTTGAACTCTGGAATTTCCACAGTGCAAGTCAAAAAGCCCACTAGAAAACTGCCTCTGAAAGTGTCGTGTCCTGATAAGGGGAGGCAACTATCTGATAACTATACCCATGAAAGATAACTAATATTGCCAAACATACAATACCAGATCAAAATTGTGACAAATATAGAACACAACATAAATTGTGTCACTTGAAATTCTGCCTAGAAATTTCTGTAGATTAGACTATGTTTACACAAGTTAGGATGTAAACTCTGCTTCCACCAACATAAGATTTGACTTTCCTCTTTGACCAAAACATGCAATGAAAAACTTCAAGTAACCCTGTCTGTAGTTATTCAGAAAGACATTTTTGGATTAAGGCAAATTATACTGTTAATAGGAATTGAACAACCTTTCAAGCTATATAGTCCATATCAATAAAATCATTAATAATACTTGATAAAAAAATTAAATTATAATAGCCAAATTAGGTTTGATTTCATAGAGCTCTCACTGATCTATCTGTTTCTTGAGACTCTCCCTCAGTTGCTTCTTGCTGAGGCTCGGACTCCATATTGTTGTCGACAGGAACCTCCCAACGTACGCTTCCACTCTCTGTTTGAGATTAGTATAGGCAGGCTGAAAAATGAAAACAAATATTTCTTGAGAACATGTTTACTTTCTTTGTTGTTTAACGCCGCACCTAGCAATCTGTAAATAATTGAGTCAGGAAAACACAATCCAGTGATCAACAGCATGAGCATTGATCTATGCAATAGAGACACAATGACATGTGTCAACCAAGTCAGCGGGCCTGACCACCCGATCCAGTTACTCGCCTCTTACGACAAGCATGGGTTGCTGAAGACCAATTCTAACCAGGATCTTCACAGGTAACTTTGCGGTAGTACAATATATCTACAATATATGTACAATAACTGGTATCAAACGTGTGTGATCAAATTTCAGGTCTGTGATTGGCAAATCTGTAGTGATAACCTGAGGTCATATAATATGATGTACTATTTTCCTGATTGCAATTTATTGATAAAAACTTAGTCCTATTTTGGTCAAACTCACGTCTGAGTCACAATGTAATGGTTGTGGAGCGTTAAAATATGTTCCTAGAACTTGTCTAGTTTAATTAGTTTTCATATCTTGTGAATGATAATAAAGTTCACTGAATCTCACACTGGCGAAAACCTGCATCACAATTGCAGGAAACTACACATTTTGCACTTTGTATATAAAATCAAAATATACCTCGCATGAGTCACAAAGAGGTATATCACATGGTATGTTTTGCACCAAATAGATGGTGTATCGCTACAGGTCTTTTTGAGAGACAATTGCAATCTCATTATCTACATTGAGTTTTAGTCATTATGATTCTAATGAATAGAGACCATATCACTAATAGTACTTGAGAATATATTTGTTTGCTTTTAATATGAGAGATATGACCATTGTCAATGCTGGGGCACAATGCAATTTTTCAGTAATGTTCAAACATTACTTTTTTGCATTATATGTACAGGATACATGTTATTTGAGACCACTCGCCCCTACCATGATTAGTAGACAGAGTAATCATGTTAATACATTTAACTAGGTGTAAACATTATGCTAAGCGGTCACTCAGATCAAAACATCATGCCAATAGATTAGCCACACAAGTGCTTATGCTTGAACATGAAAATTGTATGAAGCCCATTTGTAATGCAAAATGCCTCATACCTACTGGATCATGCAGCTATGAATGAACTGATCTTATAAATTGTGTTATGCATTTGTTTGAATGAATTAACTTTTAATAAGTTTGATTACATTGACTTAACTAATTTAGACGGTTCATTCAAAATCAAACATTAAGGCCTTTACCTGTTGTATTCAAATCGCCATGTTTACCATAACCATGTAGACCACACCTGACCACACCTGGCCACACTCGTTATGATATTCACCAATGTTTCTATTTCATATGCATATCATTTCTTGATGTTTTGGAGGGGATTTTGATCATTGCAGTGTCATATATTTTCATTCTTGTATGTCAATGCATTTCAAAAACATAATCATATCGATATATCGACTGTATCTTCTTAAATGACTTTTGTTGATGTTTTGAAGTATCTGTGATCATTGTTGGACCACATTTTAATTCTTGTATTTCTCATATTGCTAACCCAAAGCTCACAAATAAACCCAAGAATCGTAAAAGTGTGCCTAACCCTAATAGATCATAGTGTTTATGATAATCAGAAAGTGGTACCTAATACGATTATGCTGAGTGGTTGATAGGAGGAGCTGACACCATATATGGTCTCTGGGAAGAGGGATCCAAGACTTTAGGTGAGGTGAGGTGAAATTGGGTTTTACGTTGTGCTTGAGAATATTTCACTCATATGACGACGTGCATGCATGTGTATGTGTATGTGCGGCTGCTTGTACTAGCCCAGACTTAAGCTGGTTTTATAGTGCTAGCCCACTAAGATACCATGCCGCAGTGAAGCATGAATACCCCACTCAGACACATTATACTGACTCCGAGCCAACCAGTCCTTGTTGTACCCATTAATGCCGAGCGCCAGTCAGGGACCAACAAGTACCATATTTTAACGTCTTTTTGGTATGACGCGGTCGGGGATCAAACCCGCGACCCTCCGCTCTCTGGGCGGACGCTCTAACCACTACACCACGGAGGCGGTCCACAATTTTAGGAGGCAACAGTGAAGTTTAGACTACCGACTCTGGATCTAGCTTCATGGAGTATTCCGATCAAGTAACCGATTACGGTCATGTAAACTACCCATACTCTAGCACACCTATCCCTAACACTAAGCCTAAGGATCAAAGACACAAAGATTGCGTAGCAGGAGGCACACTTGGCAGCCTGAACCAAATACCATGAATAGCAATATAAGCTCAAGTGCAATGTTGAACTTAGATGTCATACTCTATGGCATCAGTGACAATACACAAAACGCAACAAAACATACTTTGGTATCGACGTCTGCTAAACATTGCTTTCTGAATTCATCAAACAAGCCCTGCGATTTGATGTTGCTGACAATTTCCTGAACGACCGGTGACGGTGTTTCCGATGCATCAGGTTCTGTCGCTGCACTCATCCTAGACAATTACACAACAGATTTGAGTCTGTCGTACGGTTAGGAAAATTGATATTTGTAAACACACAAAGCGTGTGAAGCTTCGTCCGCCATTTTTCGCTGTAATCGAAGGGAGGTAACTCTACTTTATCGTTTACTAATGAATACCACATGTATGTTTCCCATTTCAAATGCATCCACATAATAAAATGATTCCCGACCAGAAAGAGACACTGATTAAACACGGAAGTCATAACTAATAAGGGGTTATGTCACACATACCCTTTAAAATTGTTTACATAAATTTAAAAACTAAAACATTCTAAAACGTTAAGTGTGTAAAATAAAGCTTAATACACAAGACACAATTTTCAAGTCTTGATCAAGATGTAATTCTGGATACGTGGTAAAAAATGTCTACTGGTAGTTAGGTTAATATACACTATAAAATTTGACACAGCAAACTAACAAAGTTGTCTTTGAAAGTCTTGAATCAAACTTGCTGGGCCTGCCAACTGGCCAAAAACATGCAAGTCTTGATTCTTTAATGGGGATCGAACTACAGTCTCGGATCAATCCGCAGTTGATGACAATTAAAATACAGAATGAAACATCATACTAATTACAACTAATGATAATCAGCAACCCACACTCGTCGAAAGAGGCGAATGATGGGATATGGCGTTGTCATGCCCCCTGACTTGGTTGACACGTCATCGTATCCCATTTTGTAGATCGATGCTCATGATGTTGATCACTGGATTGTCTGGTCCAGACTCGACTATTTACAGACCGTAGCCATAAAGCTGGAATATTGCTGAGTGCGTCGTTAATCAAGAACCAACGAACGTTTTGGTGTCTCTGTCAAAATGAGACCTGAAGATCACAATCAGAACATCACATCATTGAATCTAACCATTGACGTTCAGCAGCCAATAAGTGGCGACTAACGAGATGGCGTTGTCAAGCCCGCCGACATGGTTGATGAATGTCATCGTATCCCAGTTGTGTAGATCGATGCTCATGGTGTCAATCACCAGATTGTCTGGTCCAGAATCTATAATTACAAATCCCCGTGATATAGCTGATACATAGTGAACGCTTTGTTTGCTTGTAAATAAGGAATGAATGTGTTTACATGGATATGTATTTCTCATTACTTTACATATACTACCCATCAAAAGTTTAGACTCACTAGTGTAAATATAGCCACTTACTTCAGGCAACTGTTCTAAACTACATTTTGCAAAATACTCCATAATGTTTAAAGGCACTGTTGACACATGAACTGATGTATTGTAAAACAAATTTGCAACGTTGAAAAGATTATTGTCATGAGTTCAATAAATGAAACAAATCAGTGAAAATTGGCGAATTCTGAACAAAACCTTACACCAAAACGCAGCTATTCACATGCACGATATTTGCACATGCATTTCAGCAATTTGATGCATGATCCTCGTGCAATTCATCTGCATAAGGTCTGCAGTTGGTTCCCCTAAGTTAGTGGAGAAATCAATCTTCGATGTAACCATATATATATACACATAACATATAGTGATTGTTTTAAGTGAGTCTAAACTTTTGATGGGAAGTATATCTTCGTTTGTATCATTTAACGTATACTTTGTTTTATCGTCTCTCATAACCCACACTGGGTGGCGTTTATACATCATCTCTCACATACTTGTTGTTATTTTTTACTGTGTACAAATGGTGAGACGCAAATAAAATATTTTGTATTTTATATTGCATATTGTATCTTAGCTACCCTGATATAGCTCGAAAGTGACGAGTGTGGCATTAAACAACAACAACAACAACAACAAATACACCTAATTAAGGGGCCTAAGTCTGTTAAGTAGGCCCATCTGTCAGACTACAAGAATAGTGCTGAGTGTGGCGTAAAACTAAACTCACTCACTCACTCAGACTTCAAGACAACGTAAGTACAAATTGAAATTGTACATATGCTTTAAAAATACTGAACATAGGAAAATTCCTCTCTGTATGCACTCTCAAACGTCCTAATTAAACCCGGCGGATGTTTTCTCTGAAGCTTATACACTTACGCCAGTGGGACTGGTATCGAAGTCACAAATGCCAAGGGCAAGGTCGCGGTAGGTGGGTGTGCGTCATCTTTTCCGGAAGTCTCATCGATTAGAAAGCATTAGTAATCAATCACAGTATTGACTGATAGACCACGACCTGCACGGGATTCACGGAACAGAAGAGGTTAACTCTAGCCTTAAAGCAAATGAATCACTTTCATTACTGATACGTGGTCAGTGTAATTGACGTGTTCAATTAATTCACTTTGAAAAGTTAGATAGATTCTAAAGCCGGAATGTACTTTTAAAAATGTATTTCGTATTAGCAATATAGCATTTATTTACAAAAAGGTTGGCTTTGTCGCAAACAGAGACACAAAATTTCTCTGAGAATTAAAGAAACCTTTCATGGTGGGTGGCCCGGTTATGTTCCTTGGACTGCCGTTACCATTCCAAACCTTCAACCCTTCGATTTTTACTCTTACGTTAATCTGACACGCCGTGATATAACTGGAATAATGTTGAAAAAGGCGATAAACACAATACTCCCAGTCAATAACCCATCTGGTTATCTATTGAAATAAAAAGATGACGAGAGCCCATTATACGAATAGGCTCCAAACATTTATGCCTCATCTAGATGAATCAATGTCAGTACGACCCGTGAAGGTCCGGGTTAGAATATTGATCTTCAGTAACCCATGCTTGTCGTGAGAGGCGACTAACGGGATCGGGTGGTCAAGCTCGCTGACTTGGTTGACACATGTCATCAGTTCCAAATTGCGCAGATCGATGCTCATGCTGTTGATTGTCACTGGATTGTCTGGTCCAGACTCGATTATTTACAGACAGCCGCCATATAGCTGGAATATTGCTGAGTGCGGCGTGAAACTAAACTAACTAACTCAATTTCAGTACGTGTATACTATTTACCTTACAACATTTATAAGGTTGTCGGATTATTAAGCTTAGTAAGTCTGCTTGTTTTAAGGCTCATTAAAGCCTGGTTGATTTGGTGTTAGTATCTAAGTTTGCTACATGTGCTAACAAGCAACCGCCTTGCCAAGAAAGGGCTGCCTACAAGCGACCGTGATATAAAGGCACATCTAGTAAAATTATCCGGGGTATATGGTTATATGGGACTTGGTTATTACAAGGGAAATAGTTTATTGTGAAATTCCTCTCACCTCCTACCACATTACATGTAATCATGTCTGTATAACCTGACTATAGATATATAAGGGTTAAACCATGTGGGTAAAGCGTTTGCTCGTCCCGCTTTAGAATTGGGTTCAATTCCCAAACAAGGACACAGTACGTGAGGTCCATTCTGACGACTAGTTCTACGAAATGCTTAAAACGCCGCTAAACCAGACTTCATGCCTACATTTCACTTCCTTGCGAACTCTACTGTCATCAAATAAATCCCTCTCTGATATCATCCAGTGGTGCTGGGTAGCTTAGCGGTTTAAGCATTCGCTCGTCACGCCGAAGACCCGGGTTCGATGTGTGAAGCCCATTTCTGATGTCCCCTGCCGTGATATTGCTGAACAATTAATCGTAAAATTAAATTCACTCACTCACTCTGTAATCAGCTTCATACAGCGAGACCCGTGAAGGTCCAGGTTAGAATAATGATCTTCAGTTACCCATGCTTGTCGGGTGGTCAGGCTCGCTGACTTGGTTGACACATGTCATCGGTTCCCAATTGCGCAGATCACTGGATTGTCTGGCCAAGACTAGATTATTTACAGACCGCCGCCATATATACTCATGCCAATAATGGTTGTCACACCCTTCAATTTTTGGATTGGAGAGGGGGGGGTGTGAGGTGGGGTGGGGGAGGTGTGTGTGACAACCATTATTGGCATGAGTATAGTTGGAATATTGCTGAGTGCGGCGTAAAACTACACTCACTCACTCACTCACTTCAATAAAAGACACTAAAAACGAACACATACACAACTCTACCGACGCTCAAGTAATGATTATTGTACATCTCTATTGTGATTTTACTATCTAATTACTGCATGTAATTGAAAAAGAATTGTTGGAACAGCTTTAATTAACGGGTTGGTAAAATATTTATTATGTCATACTATGACATGGATTCGATCCCTCACTCGCACCGAGGGTGGTGGGGTAGCCTAGTGGTTAAAGCGTTCGCTCGTGATGCCGAAGGCCCGGCTTCGATTCCCCACATGGGTACAATGTGTGAAGCCCATTCCTGGTGTCCCCTGCTGTGATATTGCTGGAATATTGCTAAAAGCGGCGTAAAACCCAACTCACTCACTCACAATCACACTCACACACACCGACACTGGCCTTGCAAGTTAGGGTGATAAGGTCAAACATCAAAATCAGCTGTCAATGATATATATGTACGTAAGCATGTTTAACACCTTTCAATGACATGACCTATTTGAGCGGCATATTAACACGTAAGACACAGCCCTGACCAAAATGCGGAAGAGTGACCAAGGCCATAAGGGTCATGTTAGAAGTATATAAACAGAGGCTCACTGACCACAGGTCATCGAAGATCTGGACTTCATTGAGCTTCTGTTTCCTTAAACATTAGGAGTTCTTCTCGTCTCCATTCACCGGTGATACCCTAGTAAGTACTGCTACCGTGGCTTGTGTTTACTCCAGTAATTATAGGAAAATAGTGAGTGAGTATGGTTTTACGCCGCTTTTAGTCATTTTCCTGCAATATCACGACGGGGACACCAGAATATAGGAAAATAACTGCACGACGCAAGATTATATATTTACTAAGGGATTGTTAAAATATTAAGCGTACCTTTAAACAGAATATGAAGGTTCCATCCTATATGTTTCACCAGTCTGTCCATATACTATACTAAGACTAAAAGGTTAAAAAACACCCGATTCTCTTACGTGACTACTGCTTATCTTTCATTCCTTGAACGATTAAGTAAAAGGAAAGAATCGGTATTCTTTAGTATTTCGTAATAGTATACCTTGCCAAATATATGGTTTTGTTCCCTGAGTAGGGTAACTCGATGCACGTTAGTGATGTCTTTTATATTAGCATGTCCAC